CACTAAGATTCATAGTTGATCATGTTAATAAAAATTTAAGGGCTCTCCGATCTTTAGGATTACCGGTAGAATATTGGGACACCCTAGTCATTTACATGGTAACAACGAAGTTGGATAGTGGTACATGTTATAAATGGGAGGAAATGAGGAATTCGCTACCTGAAATTCCGACGTTAGAACACTTCCTAGACTTTCTAAAAAATCGAGCAAATGTCCTAGAAACTATAAACAGCCAAAATTTTAACAAGCCTAAATTTACCAAGCCGCAGCCTTCAATTCAATCTAAAGTTCAGACTAAATCGTTTGCGCTAACCGCTAAACACAGTGCTCCGTCCTCGTCCAGAACTCAATTTGAATGTTTGTTATGCAAAGGCACTCATCGTTTATTTGAATGTACTACATTTAAGTCTAAATCACCAGAGGAAAGAACTGAGCTGGTTTCCAAATTAAATTTATGCGAAAATTGCTTAAGGCTTGGGCATAAGGTCCAAAATTGTAGACTACCAGGCTCTTGCCGCTCCTGCAAACAAAAGCATAATACCTTACTACATTTAACCCAATCTAATGAATGTCTTAACACTAATTCAAACCAATCCCAAAATTTATCTGCTATCACTACTAATATTAATTCTGAAATTCTCTTGTGCACTGCGCAGGTCCAACTAAGGAATCCAAATACAAACCAAATTCTGACAGCACGAGCTCTCCTCGACAGCGGGAGTCAATCTACCTTTATAACTGAACGGATACAAGTTCAGTTAGACTTGACTCCTCAGCCTACTAATGTCAATGTGGTCGGCTTGTCAGACACCCCATTACCAATCAAAACTAGGCGATGTGCACTTCACTTGCAGTCGCTTTCCAATGATTTCAATGTCAAAATGACATGTCTAGTTATTCCAAAAATAGCAGACAAACTGCCTAAGGTCTCACTCGATGTGAGTCAGTTTGATCTTTCTAATTTTCAACTAGCGGACCCTAGATTTTTTGAGCCAGCCTCTATTGATATGCTCATTGGTGCTGACCTATTTTGGGACCTGATAGGTTCCTCTCAGCATTCTTTGGGCCCTAATAAACCTATTCTTCGAAGCTCCAAATTAGGATGGCTCATTGCAGGTCCTCTACCTACTTTAATAAAAAATGAACCTAAACAATCTAATAATGTTACTCGGTGTAACTTTCTTCTAAACCAAGCTGATTCAGCCAGTATCCATGAGGCTCTTCAAAGGTTTTGGGAACTAGAAAATTTCCCACAATCCCACTCCTTTACTAAAGAAGAAAATCTTTGCGAACAGCACTATATCTCAAATACCTACCGCCTCAACAATGGTCGTTTTTGCGTCGCCCTCCCTCTTCGTGAGAAGAAGGATTGTTTAGGCGACTCATACTCATTGGCTAAAAAAAGGTTCTTAAGTTTAGAAACCCGTTTTCGTAAGCAGCCTGATCTCAAGTCAGCGTATGCAGATTTCATTCGCGAATACGACGAGTTAGGCCATTTATCTGAAGCGCCATTGCTTAGACCGCCAAATGCTCATTATCTTCCTCATCACCCTGTTATCAGGACTAATAGTGAATCAACCAAACTTAGAGTCGTATTCGATGCCTCCGCTGCTACTTCCACTGGAGTCTCAGTTAATGATCTGCAAATGGTAGGGCCAGTCATACAAGATTCGCTGTTCGACATACTGGTTCGTTTCCGTCAATATAAATACATACTTTCTGGGGACATAGAGAAAATGTACCGCCAGGTATTGGTAAGGGAGTGCGATAGGGACCTACAGCTAATTCTTTGGCGCAATAACGAAGGCGAACCTTTACGCGCTTTAAGGCTAAACACTGTAACCTATGGATTTTCAAGCGCTAGTTTTCTAGCAACCAGGTGCATCTGGCAGCTTGGCGAGGAATCTACCGACCCTAAAATAAAGCAAATTATTCAGCATGATTTTTATTGCGACGATCTACTGACCGGGGCTGACGATGATGAGACCCTGAAGTATATTCAACGCCAAGTGTCAGGTGAGCTTGCCAAAGGTTGTTTTCGGTTAAGAAAATACAGGTCAAATCTTCCATCTCTCCTTAGTGAATGTTCTTTGCCCGCAGACGGCGATCTCATCATTAGCACCGCCACTAGCACTCTAGGCATAGGCTGGCATCCAGATACAGATTTATTGCAATTCCAAATTCAATATTCCCCAACAAACATTTTAACCAAAAGGTCCATTTTGTCCTCTACCTTTAAAATATTCGATCCCCTTGGGCTACTAGCTTTATGCACCATCAAGCCCAAAATTCTCCTTCAGACCTTATGGTCGATGAAATTAGACTGGGATGAGGAAGTCCCGTCTAACATCAAAAGGTCTTGGTTAAAGTTTACCGAACAGATAAATTCACTTTCCACCATTCAAATACCAAGACGAGTCTTGATCAATAATCCAAAATTTATCGAAATGCATACGTTCTGTGACGCGTCCCAGAATGCAATTGGTGCTTGCGTCTATCTCAAATCAATTGACGCGTCAGGAAATGTACACGTTAGTTTATTGAGCGCTAAGGCCCGTGTCGCACCCCTAAAACCAACAACTATACCTAAGCTCGAACTTTGTAGTGCAGTGTTAGGGGCCCAATTAAGCTCTGCAGTCACCCAAGCTCTTCGGTGTAAAATAGATCGTCATATCTACTGGACAGATTCGAAAGTAGCATTAGGTTGGATCCAAACAACTAGCAGAACCAAGACATTTGTTGCCAACAGGGTAGCCGTTATTACCGAGCTGTCAGAACCCCAAAGCTGGCGGCATGTGCCATCAGCCGAGAACCCGGCTGACTTGTGTTCTCGCGGAGTGGACCCCCAATATGTCAGTGATTCTAATATCTGGTGGCAGGGCCCAGGCTTCCTCAAGCTGGACAAATCTTCTTGGCCAAACGCAGAAATTCAAACTCTGGACCTGCCAGAATTAAAGGCGTTGCCAAATTTGGTGGCGGAGCCCGCACCTTCGGTAGCGTTCCTGGACGTCACCAGGTATTCAAGACTCGTCAAAGCCCAAAGAGTGGCTGCTAGGGCGATCAGGTTTATAAATAATTGTAAGGATCCTCAAAATAAAAATGTAGACATACTGTCAGTAGACGAACTTTATAAAGCACTAAAATTTCTTATTAAATTCGCTCAATGTGAATCATTCTCCTTGGAAATGCAATGTTTAAAAAATAACAAACCGTTACCTAACAAATCAAATTTAAAACAATTAAATGTTTTCCTCGATAAAGAGGACATAATTCGTGTCGGGGGCCGCATAACCAGTTCTAGATATTCATACGACAAGCGACACCCTGTTTTGTTAAAATCCAATCACCCTTTGACTAAATTAATATTCGAAAACGAACATATTCGGTTGCTGCACGCGCCTCCCCAATTATTACTTACTAGCATACGCGACCAATATTGGCCCATAGGCGGGCGCAGGCTAGCCCAACACGTGTACAAGCACTGTTATAAGTGCCGTCGATTTGAAGGCAGCAGCATGGCTAATATTATGGGCGGACTACCATCTGATCGCGTGGAAATGGATTATCCTTTCATTAGTGCTGCTACCGACTTCGCTGGTCCATTTCTTATCACGGACCGAAAAGGCCGTGGATGCAAAATTAGTAAATGTTATATGTGTATTTTTATATGTTGTCGATATAGATGTATCCATTTAGAGGCCGTAAGCGAGTTAACTAAGGAGGCTTTTTTATTAACTCTCACTCGATTCATCGCACGTAGGGGCAAGCCCAATGTTATATATTGCGATAATGGCAGAAACTACGTGGCCGCTGCTAGGGAGATTAAAGAATTCGTAAATTATCACAAAGACTACATTGGGGACCTTGCAGCTCAGCGTGGTATTCAATTTAAATTTTCTCCCGCATACGCTCCTCACTTCAACGGTCTGGCTGAGGCCGGTGTAAAGTCGGCTAAATTCCACATTAAACGCATGTTAGGGCAGACTCACTTAACATTTGAGGAACTGTCCTCCCTCTTTACACAAATCGAAGCCATCCTCAATAGCCGACCCCTATGTCCCCTCAGTCCATCACCCGATGATTTCCAACCTCTCACCCCGGGCCACTTTTTGATCTTCAGACCGCTTACATCTCTACCATCGGCAACAACTCCGAGCTACAGCGAAGGCAGCCCTACACTGCGCAACAGGTTCCAGCGCATCGAGCAAGTTCGCCAGCATTTTTGGAACCGATGGTCGCGCGAGTACATCTCAGAGCTGCAACAGCGTTCGAAATGGCGCATCCAAGCACGAAACTTGCAACTAGACGACCTAGTCCTAGTAAAGGATGAGGCTCCACCTCTTCAATGGCGCCTGGGACGAGTCAGCAAGCTGTTCCCCGGGCCGGACGGCGTGCCTCGAGTCGCGGACGTTAGAACCGCCAACGGCTCCAT